CCACCAGCCCCCTTGCCAAGCTGGGGATAGAACCCAGGAGTCCTGGCTCCCAGTTCCCCCTGCTCTAACCCCCCAGCCCCCCAAGCATGGGATAGAACCCAGGAGTCCTGGCTCCCAACCCCCGCCCAACTCACCAGCCCCCCAGAGCTGGAGATAGAACCCAGGAGTCCTGGCCAGGGCTGCTCAGAGGTGGGGGCAAATGGGGCAATTTGCCCCAGGCCCCGGGCCCCGCAGGGGCCCCCACGAGAAGATAGTATTCTATAGTATTGCAACTTTTTTTTATGGAAGGGGCCCCCGAAATTGCTTTGCCCCAGGCCCCCTGAATCCTCTGGGTGCCCCTGGTCCTGGCTCCCAGTTCCCCTGGCTCTAACCGACCAGCTCCCACTCTCCTCTCAGAGCCAGGGATAGAACCCAGGAGTCCTGGCTCTCACACGAGCGCCTCACAGCTCTGAGAATATTTCCTTCCTGCTCCCCGTTTTCCCATTGTGTTTCCCTCCCTCTGCGTGTCCGGGACTGACCCCACCGTCACCCTGTGTCCCCTCCCGGCTCTAGCCAGCAGGTTACCCAGCTTGGGGGGTGGGTGGATTCTCGGGGGTGCTGGGGAATGGATTCCAGGGGTAAAGAGGCTCAAAGAACTGGCCCAGCTCCGGACCGAAGGTCGCGCTTTAATGGTAAGAAATACAAACATTTTTCTCTCGCTAGAAAGATTTGCCTTAGAGTGAACTCGACGCAGGGCTGGGGGAGGGGAATGGACATTTATACACGGGAGGGGGGCAATATACAGAGATATAAAAAAATATACGCAGAGATCCATCCCGCTATTTAACATGGGGGGGGGACACCCGGAGGGCAGGGGGCAGACGTTAAGGGGAGATACCGAAGGCCTGGGGTGATGAGATCCAGGGATTAGCACAAGGTCAGACAGAGCGTAAGGGAGTTCAGAACCCGGCCCTGGCCCCGTGGCAGTCTGGGGGGTGGCTCTGGATTGAGCTCAGGTCAGCCTCCAGCCCCCCGCCTCCCCCTTGCACTCAGTGGCTGGAAGGCAGGTTCATCCTTAGCACCCGCGGAGCAGCTTTCAGCAGAGAAACTCAGAGCCCTCCCTCCCCCCACCTCCTCCTTAGGGCAATATCATAAGCTCCACTTTAGAAGGGGAAACTGAGGCACAGACTGACATATGGACTTGCCTGGGGTTACACAGGGGACCAATGACAGAGCCGGGGATAGAACCCAGGAGTCCTGGCCCCCAGCTCTAACCACTAGACCCCACTCCCCTCCCAGAGCTGGGGAGAGCACCCAGGAGTCCTATTTAACATTACTCCCACCTTCCCTTCCCTTCCCTTCCCATCCTTTCACATTCACACACACTCTGCTTTTTCCACCCACATTTTTCTTTCTTTCCTCTTCCTCTCTCCCTCCCCCAGCTGTCTCCTGCATTCCATCCTTATTCCAGCCAATACGGGTCCCATTTAGCCATCTTTCCCTCTCCCTCAGGGGGTGTGGGCAAATCCCAAATCCGGTCCCCCTCCCTGCAGGGACTCGAACCCACAACTGTAAGAGCAGGCCCCGCGCTACAGCGTCAGTAGCCTTTCTACCCGATCAGTCCACTAGGGGGCGACAGAACCACACTGCATTGGCTCCATTTGACCCTGTTGTTCATGGGCCCAGATTAGGGGACCCTTTATTAATCCATGACGCCCGCCACGAGGACACCAGCTGCTGCCCCACTTAATAACATTCCTCCTCCCCCCCCACACACACACATCAAATCTGGAGCAGGGAAAATAATCTTAACACCCCTGCCCTCAAAGGAAAAGTGAAATGTACCCCTCCCCCCCACCCCACCCTTTTCTGGGCTGGGATAAACTGCTCCTAGTTCCCAGCCCCCCCCTTATTCTAATCCACCAGACCCTCTAGGCACCTCCACCTAGAAATATAGGCGAGAACCCAGGAGTCCTGGCTCCCAGCCCCCGCTGCTCTAACCCACCAGCCCCCACTCCCCTCCCAGAGCCAGGAACCCAGGAGTGCTGGCTCCCAGCCCCCCCCTGCTCTAACCATTAGACCCCACTCCCCTCCCAGAGCCAGGGAGAGAACCCAGGAGTCCTGACTGCCAGCCCCCATCCTGCTCTAACCCATTAGACCCTAGGCCTTCCACCCCTGGTGAATATAATCCGTTAATGTCTCAAGTAACTCTCCTTCCATGTGGGGGGGAGCCCCAGGCATGAAATAGGGGGTGGGGGAGGAGGGAACCCAGGTCATTTTCACAGCGTTACCCAAATCACTTTTCTCAAGGCTGATCCGTGCCCCTCAACCACCCCGGTACCACTGCTCTTGTCCGAGTCCATCTATTATGAGCCCAGAGTCCAGATGGGGTGTGAGATGGATACACACAAAACCAACATCCAACTGTCTCTTCTTTCAGTTCAGGAGTTCCTTCTCCCATTGGGAGAGGGGAATGAGGGAGAGGAAGTGGGATGCTGACTGACTGGTGGGTTATTTGGTCAATTGCTGAGATGATCGGTGGATTGATTGATTGGTTGGTCAACAGGTTGGTTGATTGTTCCACTGGTTGGTTGAGTGGTCGATTGGTGGCTTGATTCTTGACTATTGCGCTGATGGGTTGGCTAGTCGATTGGTTGATCGTTGACCATTCCACCGACCAATTGGTTGGTTGATTGTTGACTGTTTCACTGGTTGGCTGACTGGTCGATTGGTGGGTTGATTCTTGACTAGTCCGCTGATGGGTTGACTGGTTGCTTTGTTGATCGTTGACTGTTTCATCGGTCAATTGGTTGGTTGATAACTTAGTTGGCAGGTCAATTGGTGGATTGATGGTTGATGGGTCCATCGGCCGATTGATCAGTTGCGGGGGGGCTGACTGTTGATAGCTCATTTTGTCAGCCAATGGGCCGATTGTTCTTTGGTGGTAGATTGATTGTTGATCAATTGACGGGTTGATTGATAAATGGATTGACAAGTTGATCAATGTATTGATGGGTTGATTGGGCAATCTGTGGGTTGGTGGATTGAGTGAGGGGCTCATTAATAGATAGACGTATTGATGAGTTGACCAGTCAACCGAGGGGTGGGTGGATTAGGATTCCAGAAATCCATACAGACAAGGAGGTGAAAATGAGGATCAAACACATTGGACTTTCCATTGCAGATAGGATCACCAACCTCGGAGAACCGGTACTGCCATGGGGAGGGGGCCGGCTAGGGGGTAAGAATAAGTGAACGAAAAAAAAAGAATGAAAGGAAGAAATGGCGGAAGAGGGGAAGGGAAAGGGAGCAGGGGCAAAAGAAAGAGACGGGGGAAGCGCATGAAAGGAGGGTAAGGAAGAATGAAAGAGGAAAAGACAGAGAGGACACACAAAAGGGAAGAGGGGGATGGCTGAAGCAGGAGGGGCGTGGATGAAGGGACAGGGGAGGAGACAGATGGAGGGGTGGAGGGACTAGGGGGGAATGGAGGGATGGGAGGGGAGCTGAACCCCCTCTCCTATAGCCCAATCTCGTCATCCAGCTCATCGTCAAATGTGTATCCATGCCCGGTGCCTTCCTCCTCCTCCTCTTCTTCTTCCTCCTCCCCTGCCTGGGGAGCCGCCCCGTGGCCCAGCCCCTGTCCCCCCACCGGCCTCTCCGCCCTGACGTCCTCACTCCGGGGCTGCTCCCCGCCCTTGTCCATGACCCCCAACACCTCATCCAGAATGGACGGCCCCAGATCCAACTCGAAGGAGAACAGGGACTCGGCGTGTTGCAGTTCCCCCTCCCAGCCAGCGGGGGGCAAATCCAGGGCGCTGGGGCTGCCCCCCAAATCAGCCGGGCTGCCGGAGGACCCCGAGAGGCGGCTGGGGGACTGGGCCGGCGCCAGGGCCTCGGTGGCGGGGGGCAGCCCGTTGGCCTTGGGGCCCCCATGGTTGCTGAGAAAGGAGGTGTCCCCGAAGACGTCCCCGCCCCGGCCGACGTGCATGGTGTGCCGGAAATCCCCCAGCGGGGCGCTGATCATGTCCCGGCCGATGCGGGGCCTCTTCTTCGACTGGGAAATGGGGGACTGCTTCAGAATCGGCATCTGGGGGGCACAGAGAGAGAGACATGGGGGTCAGGGAGACAGGGCCCCGCCCCTCTAGGGGGCACCAGCTCCGCTCCAGGACTGGCTGGCTCAGGGGGTGGGGAATGGGGCGCAGGGCCTTTCCCCTCTAGGGGGCGCTGGCTCCATCCGGCCCCAGGGCGGGGATTGGCTGGCTCAGGGGGGCAGGGAATGAGGCACAGGGAAGGGTTGGTCTCCTGCACCCCCATATCTTAGGATAAATAGGGGTCACCCACTGGGGTGTTGATCCCAGGCAAAATATCCCCCACCCTGTGACATGGGATTATTTCAGAGAGGGGGGCTGGGAGGCAGGACTCCTCTGCTCTCTCCCCAGCTCTGGGAGGGGAGTGGGGTCTAGTGGTTAGAGCAGGGGGGCTGGGAGCCAGGACTCCGGGGTTCTCTCCCCGGCTCTGGGAGGGGGTGGGGTCTAGTGGTTAGAAGGTGGGGGGGATGGCAGGGAGGAGGTGGCCAGTGGGGATTGAGAGGGATGGGGATCTCCGCTGAAGAGGGAGGACTGGGCAGCTGGGACTGAGGGGGGAGGCGGCATTTCCTGTCCTAGGGAAGTGAAGTCAGTTTCCTCTGGGTGTTCTCGGCCAGCTGGGAACCCTGGCTCTGTGCCAGATCAGACCTGACCAGGGGGAGCTCACATCGGGGGCAGGCCATGGGACGGTTCCGATTGGGGGGAGACAGCTGGGGGGGGCAGGGGATTGGGGGGACTCAGTTGGGGGGGGACAGCTGGACAGGATGGGGGTTGCTCTGATGGAAAGGGTGGCAGGACAGGGCCAGGGATGAGGCAGATCAGATGGGGGTGGTGGACAAGGCGGGGTACAGGGTGGCACAGAGGGGGGCACTGGATGGACCAGGCAGCCCCCCTCTATCAGAACAACAGCTAGAATCTGGAGCAGCTGGGTTGGGGTTCCCCACCCCCATGAATGGACAGGGACTGGGGGGGGTGTAAGGGAGGAAGGAAAGAGAGAAGATGAGAGGAGAGAAGGAACAGGGGGAAGGAGACAGTGACTAGGGAAGAGAGGGGCTAGAAAGGCCCTTTCTGGCTGGGGATACAGTGGGGGGGGGCGAGGAGCAGGGAACACCCCCCCACACCCCACCTGGTTCCCATGAGCCACCGCCCCCCACCCCACTCCCAAGCCGCTCCCCAGGGGAAAGGAGTGGGGCGGGGAACCTGTCTGACCAGATTCCTGCTCCGCTCCGCTGCCAGGGGACCCGGATCCAGGCTGAGCCTGGTGCCATAACTAACAAGGGAGCTGGGAGCCCGGACTCCTGGGTTCTCTCCCTGGCTCTGGGAGGGGAGTGGGGTCTAGTGGCTAGAGCAGGGGGGACTGGGAGCCAGGACTCCTGGGTTCCCTCCCCAGCTGTGGGTGAGTCATACTGGCAGCACTGGCGCCTGGGAGGGGATCTAATGGGTAGGGTTGATTCAGGCTTCAGGGGAACAATGATTCTGCGGGCGGGGGCGGGGCAGGTTTGGGTCCAGCCCCAGCCCCAACAAACGCGAACAAGAGGTATAGCCAGTCCCTGGGAGCGGAGTCAGCAGGGCTGGGAGGCACGGGACAGAACCCAGGAGTCCGGGCTCCCAGCCCCACTCCTCCACTCTAACCACTAGACCCCACTCTCCTCCCAGAGCCAGGGAAAGAACCCAGGAGTCCGGGCTCCCAGCCCCCTTGCTCTAACCCATCAGACCCCACTCCCCTCCCAGAGCCACCTTGAGCTCAGGGCTTCCCTTCAATGCCCCCCCATTCTGCCCTCCTCCCATACCAGGGTCCCCCATTCTTCCCCCCAGGACCGTGCCCAGCAGCCGCAGTGCTGGGCATGGAATGTTACTAGGTGTATTACGGTAGCGCCCAGGAGCCCCAGCTCTGGAGCCCCATTGCGCTAGGTGCTGCACACGGTTAGGTGTATTACGGTAGCACCTAGGCCTCCATTGTGCAAGGTGCTGGGTGTTGTTCATTAGGTGAATTATAGTCACACCTCGACCCCCCTCCCCCCGCCATGGCCCCACGGTGCCAGGCCCTGTACATTTTATTGCTATTAGGGGTATTACGGTAGCCCCAAAGCACTGCCCCTCTCTCGCCCCTCCAGCCATGCCCCAGACCCCCCAGGCACTGTACATTTAATTGCTATTAGGTGCCTTACAGTAGCACCGAGGCACCAGATGCTGTACATTTTATTGCTATTAGGTGTATTATGGTAGCCCCCTGGGTGCCAGGCGCTGTACATTTAACGGCTATTAGGTGTATTATGGTAGCCACCAGGCACTATACATTTCATTACTATTAGGTGTATTACGCTAGCCCCCGGGGCACCGGCTCTGTACATTTAACTGCTGGGTGCTACACAGACCCAGAACAAAGAGCCCATCCCTGCCTCAAGGAGCCAGCGAGAGCCAGCGGGCGATGGATGGGCAGAAGGACAGGGGGGCGCCCGCGCAGGGCGAGACCCCGTTGGCCAGCGTGACGGGCAGGGCCCGGGAGGGACCTGACGGTGGTGGTTCTGGAGGTGTTTACGGGGAGCATCTCCCCAGGGTGTGGGGTGGCCTGAGCCATTCCCCAGGAGGTGATGGCGGCAGGGACCCCAGGCCCCTCGGAGAGGGATGGGGAGAGGATTAGGTGGGTGGACGCCGTGGAGAAGGGGGAGCCAGTGGCGGGACGCAGAGAGGGGGCGACGGGACCAGGCTGGGGGACGCTGCTGGAAAGGGGCCCTGCTCTGGCTGGGGAGCAGGGTCGGGGACGCTCCTAGCAGCTCCCGGAAGCAGCGCCATGTCCCCCCTCTGACTCCTATGCATAGGGGCAGCCAGGGGGCTCCACTCCGCCTGATGTCCCCGCCGCTCCCATTGGCCGGGAACCGTGCGATGGCGGTGCTTGTGGACGGGGCAGTGCGCAGCAGAGGCGCCTGGCTGTGCCTCCGCGTAGGAACCGGCGTGGGGGGTGTGATGTGCCGCTGCTTCCGGGAGCTGCTTGAGGTAAGCGCTGCCCGGAGCCTGCACCCCTGAGCCCCTCCCACACCCCAACCTCCTACCCCAGCCCTGATCCCCCTCCTGCCCTCCAAACCCCTCGGTCCCAGCCCAGAGCACTCTCCTGCACCCCAAACCCCTCATCCCCAGCCCCACCCCAGAGCCTGCACCCCAGCTGGAGCCAATACCCCACCCCCCACCCCAGCTGCCCCAGCCCAGAGCCCCCTCCTGCACCCTGAACTCCTCATCCCCAGCCCCACCCCAGAGCCCTCCCCCCAGCCAGAGCCCTCATCCCAACCCCAATTTTGTGAGCATTCATGGCCCACCATACAATTTCTATACCCAGATGTGGCCCTCGGGCCAAAAAGTTTGCCCACCCCTTGTCTAATGGTTAGAGCAGGGGGGCAGGGAGCCAGGACTCCTGGGTTCTCTCCCAGCTCAGGAAGAGGAGTGAGGTCCAGTGGTTAGAGCAGGAAGCGCTGGGAACCAGGACTCCTGGGTTCTATTCCTGGCTGGGGAGGGGAATCAGGGAGGCAGGACTCCTGGGTTCTCTCTGTGATCATCTGCTCTGACCTCCTGCGTCACATATAGAACGGCCCTTAGCCGAACTCTTGGGAAGTTGCCCCCACGGGTCATTTTCCTCCCTCTTAAAAACTCGTCCCCTCGTTTCCCGGTGGGAATTGTTGAGCTTCAACTCCCAGCCGTTGGTTCTGCTTGGCCCTCCGGCCGCTAGGCGCCCAGGCCCGGCGTCAGGACCCGGGCAGAACGGCGCAGCGAGGTTTCGGCCTGAAGACCGAGAGGCCCAAGCGGAAGACGACACCCACGTTACGGGACAGGCCAGACGGTCGTGGTTGCAGCTACAGAGAGGAGGGAGGGTGGCGGACTCGGGGAGGGGGGAGATTAGGAACTGAGCAGGGGCTGACGGCTGGACATCCACGAGGAGACGAGGCGGGGACGGACGGAGACAGCTCTGCAGTAGACCGGACACCGGAGGGGCTAATGGGACCCCGGGCTGTGTCCCCAGGGGAACCTCGAGCGGGAGCAGAGAGGGGAATTCACCTCTGGATGTGGCCCTGGGGCGACGCTGTCGGGATCCCGTGTCCCGTTGCGCGGCCCCCAAGTCAAGGAGGACGGTGATCGATTGGAGACGGGGTGGAGAAGAGTCACGGAGACGATTGAAGGGTTAGAAAACCTGCCTGGGCGGGAGAGACACCAGGAGCTCCAGCTGTTTAGCTGAGCAGAGAGACGGTCCGGGGGGGGACTCGATCCCGGGCTATCGGTACCGACGTGGGGGACGAATATTGACTAACGGGCTCCTCAGAGGAGCAGAGGAAGGTCGGACCCGGCCCCCACGCCTGGAAATTGAAGGGAGACAAACCCAGCCTGGGAACATGACAGATGTTTTTCCCGCTGAAGGGAATTAACTATCGGGATAATTGGCTACACTTGCAAGGCCTCCGGCCTCTCAAAGACCTGATCTGGATCAGCCAGGACTGATTTCGGGGCAGCGCCATGGCCTGGGTTATCCCGGCACCCAGGCGAGCAGCTCCTGACGGGCCCCGTCTGGCCGTGGGATCTAGGAGAGTGGAGAAAAGGTAGCAGAGCTGTGGACGAGCTGGCCCAGAGATGAGGGAGATGAGAGGCGACCAAGGATGGAGTCTGGGGGAACCCACCCCAAAAAAGTGAAGGGGGCCAGTGGGAGAATCCTCCAAAGGAAACACTGAAGGAGTAATTAGAGAGGAAGGAAGAGAACCAGGAGAGGCCAACTAGAATAGAACCCAGGAGTCCTGGCTTCCAGCCCCCACCCTCTGCTCCAACCACTAGCCCCCACTCCCCTCCCACAGCCAGGGATGGAACCCAGGAGTCCTGGCT